GTCAGCTGAAGTAGCCTGTAGTACTACACTCTAACCACTGCGCCACCTCGGCTCTGTATCATCACTAGCACTGATGATGTCACCTGGTTTGGGTAATAAAACATCTGCAAGAAAACAACGAAGCTCAGAGAGCACCAAGGACCCATCACTTCCCCTCCTGTTTACCATTATGACGTGAAAAAGATTTTAGACTCCTGCTTGCACTGGGGTCACTTACAAATATCTTGTTCACTGGAAGGGATACCCAGGCTATGTGAGTCAAGAGTTGGGATATAAAGGCTGACAGACTGGCCAAACGGTTTCATGACAACTACCCTCAGAAGCCCATGGAACCACTGGGGGGGGGAGGGGGAGGGGACGATAAAGTAGATTAACTCCCCTCGATTTTCTTCTTTTGCAGGAGGTCCTTCTCACCTGAGGGAGGTCAGCCTGTCAACCCTGAAGCCATTTTGAAGCATCTTCAGGGCTGCCACAGCTATCCTGTTTGGAGCTGTGGGAACGGGAGGCGGGGGGGCAGTAGAGATAGCTGGGGACTTGTAGCCAAAATAAAATTATTTCTCCTGGGAACCAAGGGCATTCTCACCAGGTGCTGGGGAGGCGTGGACTGGAACCAACTGGGCTTGGGACTGTGACCGGATTGGACCATGTGATGGACATGTGGACTGGGGGAAAGAACTTTGACTTTTAATTTGGGTGGGGGAAACCATGGCACCAGATGTGCCAATATGACATGCCTCATAAATCTGTACTTTTGAGGAACACCTAGGCCTCAGAGGTTTGATTGCATTGGGTCTGTTACTTGGAACCCTGACATACTCATTATTCTATATTACACTGACTCAAAGGCTCACAAATATATTCTGTATTATAGTAAAACACAGTAGAACAAGGTTCCCCAATCCCCGGGCAGCGTCTATTTGCAAACTGGGCTGCATGAGCTGTGTCAGCCCCTCACCCACGCAAGTTGAGCTGTGTGTGTTTACATTTGTGTGCACCACCCCTCTGTTCACATGGCCCGGTCCTACCGCCCCCCCACCCAGCTGCCAAGCTGCAAAGGTTGGGGACCGTTGCAGTAGAAGTAAGCAATTTTCTGTTTAAATAAGGAATTCCAAGAAACATATAAAACAGGATCTAGCCCCATGTTGTAGATATAACTACCTTGAACTTGGCATGCTTTCAAAACCTTCAGTTGATGCATTATTTCTTCCTCACTTGCTTGGACCAAATCCAAGAAGTCTTCTGTTGTATACTACAGAAAGGAAACAAAACATACATGTCTTCCTTATGTCTGAATGCTGAATGCGGAGTGCCTTGGAATTGCTTTATAAATAAAAGTTTAAAACTGCATTTGTGTATTTAATTACGAGTATTTTATTTTCACAGCTTTCACAAGGTAGTATAAAGTTGGATGCTGAATGAGACTTTCATAAACCTACATTTATTTCAAGCTACATTTATTTCAAGAATCTGAAATTTTATTGGGTTAAGGACTGAATCAGAAATTCTGCCATATGCTGAGACCTGCGCTGGAAGGCTATTTCAGGACTTTTAACAGATGAATCAAGGGCTACCCGCTTTGCCACTTAAAACAGCACCAACATGCAAAAAAAAAAAAAAAAGAGGGGGAAATAAAAATGTTTAGTCTTATTGGATTTTAAAAGCACAAAAGAGATGGAGTCAATTTTTGTTCACTTTGTTTTGGAAGGAGGGAAATTGTAAGTTGTCCAGAGTCGCTTGAATAGTGAGATGGACAGCATATAAATTTAATAAATAAATTAAATAATAAGTTATGCACTTGGGAAACTGCTGAAGGAAAAATATTACATCACTGATAATGAATATCTCAGCCCATAACAGAGTAGAATATATTTGTGAGTAGGAAGTTTTATTTACCCTACACATCAAGCTGAAAGATTTAGGTAATTAATACATGAACATATGGCTAACATTCTCTCTTTATAATGGGCCATATGGGGAAATTACAAACATATGTTCCTGGGAATTTAATATGGCTTAGTACTCTCTAATTGCAATTCACGGCCTTGCTTAATTTTTATTCTTGCACAGAGTTTATGTCTCTTTATGAAAAACTCTATCTTGCTTTGGGACATGAGAACTTTTCCATCCATTTATGTATCCATCATTACTTTATATAATTATTACCTTTGCGTTTGTGTCAATTCTCTCTTTTTCACAATCTGGACCTTCATAAGGATTTTCCAATAGAAGTTTCTTGAGTTTCTTCAATTTAGGTCGGCATCTTTTTAGTTCCCAAAAATGATTGGTGAAGCCTGCAATCTACAACAAGAACTGTCATGGGAACTGCCGGATTAATCTGTAAAGTTGGCAGTTGCAGATATAACTGCATCAATCAGCAGCAGCAGAGAATGAACACAGCATAACACCCCTAAGTTTGGCATGTTAAATGACTGTCTTCGTGAACTGTGTTTCTCAATTTTAGCAGCTTGAAGATGTGTGGACTTCAACTCCCAGAATTCCCCAGCCAGAACACTGGAGTTGATGCCCACACATCTTCAAGCTGCCATGGTTGAGAAAAATTGCTTTAGTACTTCAGCCCTTTGGGTATATTTGCTCCACTTCCATTTAACTCATCTGGCTCTTTTAACATAAGAAGATTCAATTGTCACTGTGGCCTTTCAGATATTTTGGACATCATATTATCCCTGGATATAGTGAGTAGCAATCCAACCATATCTAAAGTACAACACATCTCTTCCCACCCACCCCCAAATTTTTTAAACAAAATTTTGCTTTTATTTCTCCTTAGCTACTGTCTTAAATACCAATGCATGCCAGAGTCTATTAATTGAGAAGAAACAGAACAAGCAATCAAGCAATCTGTACCTTGCTTTTTCTAAGTGCATCCAAAATGTGTGATGGCCACAAGCAGGGAAAAATTATGTTTGTGTCTGTGCTAGAATTTTACTATTTAAACCAGTGGCATTTGGAGAGATTTAACTTATTTTATTGCACTTTCTTGGAGAAATAACTGCTATAACCACAGAATCATGGACCCATACCAGGAAAAAAGGCTATTTCATCTGGTTCAGTCATTTGCCCATCATTCTATCAAATATCACATTCCTGCTAAACCAAGGATAATGTTAAGTCCTCCAAGAAATAACTGAGTCCCATATTTAATCAGCTGTTATATGCCCTCAAACCCAAGATCCCACTCATAGATATGCCTATTTTAAATAATTATCCTATACACTATATGTCTAAGTAGTAAAATATTTATTGTATCTCTCGGCCACAAAATGCTCTTACTTAATTCACTGGATAAACTAGAGTTCTCTCACATCCACAAATCTGAACTCTTTGGAAAAGGTCTGTAGAGATTCTCAGTCATCCAGGTCATGGTTGTCCCAAAGGTGCTTTTTCAGGAGGCAACTGGGTTTTCTTGTTTTTTCTTTTGAAGACATTTCACTTCTCATCCAAGAAGCTTCTTCAGCTCTGAAAGGATAGTGGAGAATGGAAGGATTTATATTCCTTGCAGACAGCTGGTAATCTGCATCCTTCTAGAGGGTCGTTGAAGCACTTGGAGGTTTATCTGTATCCTCAGGGTCACCTGAGTAGCACTCTCGTTCCTGTAGTCCTGAAGAATATAAATCCTTCCATTCCTCTCATCCTATCAGAGCTGAAGAAGCTTCTTGGATGAGAAGTGAAACGTCTTCAAAAGAAAAACGAGAAAGTCCAGTTGCCTCCTGAAAAAGCACCTTTGGGGCATCTTTGGAAGAGGATTAAATGTGATTTATTTATTTTTTAAAGGGAGGAGAATGACTTTTCAAAGATCTTAACTTGCTCTGGAGAATCTTCAGGCACACAATACCTCAGGGTGGAGTATATTAGAGGTAGCCTTGTCTGCACGAAGCTGCTCTGGCGTTTCACCGGAAGGAATAAAAAGCAACATATTGGAAGTATCTGCTATTTTCATGTCGTAAGTCTTATCCTTACTGCATATCACAGCATGTTCATTTTTCTCTCCACGGAACACCAGGCTGCAGGATCAAACAAACGCACATAAGCCAGGTTCAAACTACAACGTGTTGACCAAAAGGTTTAAAAATATGTAACAATAAATAAAGATTGGAGGCTGATACATCTGAAAACATACAGTCCAATTCCTCCCGGTATTCCAGTGACATTGTCAAGGAAAAAATACAGACTGAACTTTAGTCTAATGCAGTGTCTACGGAAATTCTCAGTCATCCAGGTCATGGTTGTCCCAAATGTGCTTTTTTTTTCCTCCCAAGAGGCAACTGGACTTTCTGGTTTTTCTTTGAAGACGTTTCGCTTCTCATCCAAGAAACTTCTTCAGCTCTGACAGGATAATGGGGAATGGAAGGATTTATATTCCTTGCAGACAGCTGGTCATCTGCATCCTTTTAGAGGGTCGTTGAAGCACTTGTCATTGAAGAATATAAATCCTTCCATTCCCCACTGTCCTGTCAGAACTGAAGAAGCTTCTTGGGTGAGAAGCAAAATGTCTTCAAAGAGAAACCAGTTGTCCAGTTGTCTCTTGGGAGCGTGGGGGGAAGCACCTTTGAGACAGTCTGATACAGAGTTTCTCAAACTTGGCAAATTTAAGATGCATGGACTTCAACTCCCAGAATTCCCCAAATTTGCGCCACACTGGTCTAACTCTAACCCACGGGTTTCCAAACTTGGCAACTTTAAGACTTGTGGACTTCAACTCCCAGAATTCCTCAGCCAGCAAAGGAAAGCTGGCTGAGGAATTCTGGAAGTTGAAGTCCACAAGTCTTAAAGTTGCCAATGGAGACCCCAGCTCTAACCCATCTGGAGCATGCAGAGACGGCCAATGCAATTCCCTTCTTGAATTAAATCAGCTGATCCTCCCAGGCGCTAGGGGTCGCTGTAGAGTCGCCAGATTTTTTTTTTTTTTTAAAGCCAGCCGCACGCTCTACCGCCAGGGTGGCCTTGCCGAGCATGCGCGTACCTTCGCCCCTCCTCCAACTCGTGACACAACTCCGGCTCCAGTTGCAGAAGACAGTAATCGCCGGCATCGATCCGCGGACTGAAACTGAGGCACTGCACCGTCGGAAGCAGTTCCGATGGGTTTAGTTTAGCGACCTCCAGCGTCGCATCGACCTCCTCGCGGCTTCGCATCCTCGTGGGGGGTGGGCGGGCTTTCGCTCCTCGGGAGTCCAACGGGCGTCTCTGACAGGAACGGCAAAGACGGAGAAGAAAGACAACGGCCTCTTCCGAAAGCGCGCCAAAACTCACGTCGGCACCTTGATGCGGAGGGGGCGGGGTTTACGCTGCTTAGGCGCCCAATCCGAAAGGGAGGAGGCGGAGCTTAATCCACCCACAAAAACGGACGTTGAGACTCTGAGAAGAGCCAGAAGGATCATCAGAGGAGTGGAGGCCAGAACATAGGAAGAACCGTTGAGGGAATTGGATACGTCTTAAGTTTAATGAAAAGGAGTACTAGGGGCGACATGATAGCAGCCTTTCAATATTTGAGGGGCTGCCACAAAGAAGAGGGAATAAACCTATTTTACAAAGCACCTGAAGGCAGGACAAGAATAGTATAGTATAGCAGAGGTCTTCAAACGTGGCAGCTTTAAGACTTGTGGGCTTCAACTTCCAGAATTCTCCAGCCAGCTGTACTGCCTGGAGAATTCTGGAAGTTGAAGCTCACAAGTCTTAAAGCTGCCAAGTTTGAAGACCTCTGATGTATAGTATAGTATAGTATAGTATAGTATAGTATAGTATAGTATAGTATAGTATAGTATAGTATGACTTTATTGTCATTGTACATAATACATACAACAAAATTGGTTTAGCCTCCCTGGTGCAATCCATAACAAAATACAAAACATAAATAGTATAGAGAATAATCCCTATGCAAGTAATGGGTGGGGAGTCTAGTCATACGTTTCTGTATGTACATGGAGTGATTGTGATTGTGTTTTAAGAGTGTGACAGTCCATGGGTAGAAGCTGTTTTTAAACCTGTTTGTCCAGCTGGCTATGCTTCGATGTCTTCTGCCCGATGGTAGAAGCAATGGATGGAAAATAATCAAGGAGACAACGTAATTAGAATAGAATAGGAATAGAATGGAATAGGAATAGAAAAGGAATGGAATGGAAGAATGGAATGGAATAGGAATAGGAATAGAATAGGAACTTCTAATGTATGCTAATCTGCATATATTAAAATGAAATTTTGTTGAATACATCTCTCAAAAGGTTACCGCCTCCACTATACAAAACATGAACATGACAAAATTTTTAAAAAATACAAAGTTATGTATGTACCCACATGTTATATGACACAGAGAAACAACACAGTCTAGTTCAGCTGTATAAATGTACATGACGAGAGAAACGAATCTTGCGAGTCTGCCGGATGGAGGCATAGGGAACAAAGCTGTTACAGAATCTGGTAGTCCTGCTAGAAATACTTTGAAACCTCCCAGAGGAGTAGGGTCCCTGCATGGGCTAGATCGTGGGTGTCAAACTATGCAGCACATTGCTGTCATGTGATGTTTCATGACTTTTTCCCCTTCGTGGAGCTGGGGTGGGTGTGACCTGCACATGATGCATCAGGCCTGCAGGCCACCAGTTTGACACCCTTGGACTAGATGACCTCCAAGGTCCTTTTTAACTCTGGTATACCTAATGTAATGCTTCATTGTTGCATTTTTTGGTATTTTTGAGAAAGAAAAAATAAGATGGCCAGAACCCATAATAAACAGGTTTTTTACAAGCATCGAATGAAAGAGAACCAAATTTGTTGCATAAGAATTTTCAATATTTCATTAGATTTACATTTAAAAGCTGCAATTAAATCCAGTTACTATATAAGTATCAAGAGCATTATTTTAAAAGAGTTAATTTCTGACTTAGCAGCCAAATAATTTTTAATTGGGGTCTTTTAAAAAATAATAGTCCATCCCTAATGAAAAATTACAGGTCTCATGCTTATCAGGATCTAAACCCTGGAAAAGCCAACCTCATCTGGTTATCTTCAAATAAAGACTCAGATTAACTTTGAATGCAGTAATACCAAAAGGAGGGCTATTTGAATAACATACAGGAACCACAAGGTTTCCCAAGTTATTCAGATGGTTTCCCTCAAAATGCACAAATATAAAAGAGCAAAGATTTATTGATTAGTATTGCAATAATCTATGCTTTGTGAAAAATTGGGATTACAATTATTTAATCCTACCAAATGTATTCCGTATAGTCCTCATTGCAGATAAAATTCCTTTTAGCGGAATTTCTTCCCACATTTTACAAAGGATCCCTTCCTTTGTAAAAGGATTCCTAATCCTTCCAAATGTTTTTAAGGCAATGGTGGGAAAACTAATTGAATGGGTGAATAATTTCCAAGCAACTGAACCAGTGAGAGGGGGATGCTGGGACTTGTTCCCGGGTATTGATGTTATGTTGATTGGTCTGTAGTTTCCTGGTCTGTTTTTTTCCCCTTTTTTGAAGAAAAAAGTGAGAGCAATTAACCAGTGGAACAACTTGCCTTCAGAAGTGGGTGCTCCATCACTGGAGGCCTTCAAAAAGAGACTGGACAGCCATTTGTCTGAAATGCCATAGGATCCCCTGCTTGATCAGGGAGTTGGACTAGAAGACCTCCAAGGTCCCTTCCAACTATGTTATTCTATGTTCTATGTTGTAGTCCAGCTGAATATCTGCCGGGCATGGACTCCCAAGTCCTGGTTTAAGGATGCAGCTCCTTGACTGTTCAGCCACCCCCATTATAATGCAATTATTTTACATTCCTCTATTTAATTCTATGTTCCAGAATACCACATGGGGGCAGGCTGCTATAACACATGAATAACTTTGCTGGGTCAGAAAATACTATAATGAAAATATGGATGTACTTTCCAAGCTGCAGAAATCAGGATGATCGCTTAGAGAAAAGCAAAGAGTGAGTGTTTTCTGAGTGTTTTCTCACAAAGAATGTTTCCTGACACCTAATAGTAATCTTGAATTTTGCAGCCTAAATCTGATAGCCCTAATGAAATTACAGGTAGTCCTTGATTCATTTAGTGACTATTCAAAGTTACAACAGCAGTGAAAAAAGTGACATGACCAATTTTCACACTTATGACTATTGCTGCATCACCATGGTCACATGACTTACATTCTGATGCTTGACAACTAGTTCATATTTATGACGGTCGCAGCATCCCGGGGTCATGTGGAACTGTGTGACTAACAACTGCAGCGATTCATTTAACAAACGTGACAAAAGTCGTAAAATGGGGCAAAATTCACTTAACAAATTTCTCACTAATCAACATAAATTTTGGGCTCAATTGTGGTCATACATTGAGGACTACCTGTAGAAGATAATTGAAGGTAAAAGATTTCAGTTGCATTGCTCTGGCTTCCTGTTCTCCAGCTGCTGGCTGTTTTTGTATTGTTGAAGTAATTCCAGGATGTTTAATAACTGGTGCATTCTTCAAAGTACAACATATGGGCAGTGTTTGGCATAATGGGCTTAACTACAAATAGTAAACAAATATCCTTGTTTTGCTCAACATGCTGAGCTACAATCTGGCCAACTCTGTTTTAGTCTAGTGTGTTGTAGAAAGTGGAACATATGATTAGTTTATAGTTCAGTGTACTGTGGAAATCCCCACAAATGAATCAAATAAAACATGATAATTAACTATCGTTAATGAATCATGCAAGGTCTAAACTCAGACTTATACTTCAGTGGGGAGATAGAGATGAATATGGTTAGAGTTGCACATATGTCAATCCTATTTTTATTTAAAAAAATAGTATTCTCAAGTAAATGAATACTATCAGGAAAGAGGAAACAATTTGTGAGGTTATGATCTTACTATCATAGTTTAAAATGCACAAATTGTATCTAGAATTTGAAACACTGCGTTGACAGTTATATTTTGCTTCTAACAAGTTATCCTATCCCAAGCAATTAAGCCTGGGAACTTTTAGATAAGACTGAAAAAAGGAACTCTTCTCATTAGAGAAGAATGGAAAAAAAGAACTGGAAAACCTCTTTAATTTGTTCTGCTTTTCTCAACTTGAGGAAACAAATATTTTTAACAATTAAAAAATAATTCTGGAGCCTTTACTGCCTTTAAAAAAAAAAAAACCACTTTCAACTGCAAAGTGCTGACAATTCTCCTTTTGTCACAGCCTCTTTTAGGACTTGAGGTTATGATATCTTGTCCAAGAGAACAAAATATGCAGAAGGGTGTATATTTGCAAATTCTATCCCTGCCTCGAGGTTGTTAATCAAGAAAGCTCATGGAAAAATCAAGGCTATTTGGATGATATAAAGAGCAGAACGCCACATTAACCAGAAAATATGTACTAGTCCCAGTCCCCTTTCTTTGCTAATATTTATCTTGTAAATTAAAAAAAAGTATGCGTGTCCCCCTTGGGATTAGAGTCACCCTGTGTGGAATGGGAGAAAAATTAAGATTTATTAAATAGAATGCTAGAAAATAAAATAAAAATGGCCCTCCTTACTTTATATCTGGAGGCCAAAAGGATAAATTAAGAACAGCTAATCCTCCTCTTATAACCACTGTTGAGAAGAGGATTTCCATTGCTAATGGAATGGAATTGATAAGTGAGTCACATCTAATTTGATGACTTTTTTTGCCACAGTTGTTTCAATCAATCAGAATAGAGCTGGAAGGGACTTTGGAAGTCTTCTAGTCTAGCCCCCTGCCCAAGCAGGAGACCCTATACCATTTCAGATAGGTGGCGGTCCAGTTTCTTCTTAGAAACCTCCAATGATGAAGCACACACAACGTTTGAAGGCAACCTGTTCCACTGGTTAATTGTCCTCACTGTTAGGAAGTTTCTCCTTAATTCCTTGTTGCTTCTCTCCTTGATTAATCTCCATTCATTGTTTCTTGTCTTGCCTTCTGATGCTTTGGAAAATAGGCTGACCCCCTCTTCTTTGTGGCAGCCCCGCAAATACTGGAATACTGCTATCATGTCACCCCTAATCCTTCTTTTCTCTAGACTGGCCATACCCAGTTCCTGCAACCCTTCTTCATGTTTTAGTCTCCAGGCCTTTAATCATCTTAGTTGCTCTTCTTTGCACTTTTTCCAAAGCCTCAGCATCTTTTTTTTGTACTGTGGTGACCAAAACTGGATGTAGTATTCCAGGTGTTGAGTGAAACACATGGTCGTTAAACAATCTAGCTTCCCTGATTGATTTTGCTTATTGGAAGCTTCCTGGGAAGGTCACAAATGGCAGTCACATGACCCTGGGATGCTGCGATTATCATAAATAGATGCCAGTTGCCAAGCTCCCAAATCTTGATTACATGACCATGGGGTGCTATGACAGTTGCAAGTGTGAGGGCCAGCTGTGAGTCCCTTTTTTCAGTGCTGATATAACTTTGGTTGGTAAACGAATGGTTTTAAGTCAAGGACTACCTGTACTAGGAGAGTTAATAATTCCCCATTTGGGTTTGAGTAGCATGTTTGATTAGAGAAAGTCAGTTTGGTGTAATGATTAAGGTGCTGGCCTAGAAACCAGGAGTCTGTGAGTTCTAGTCCTACCTTAGGCACGAAAGCCAGTTGGGCGACTTTGGACTGGTCACTCTGTCTCAGCCCAATCTACCTCACAGGGTTATTGTTGTGAGGAAAATAGGGGGAGGTAGGTTTTTGCCTTGAGTTACTTATAAGATAATAAAGATGGGGTAAAAATCTAATAATACTCTAAAAAATGTAGGTAACTTGAAACAAAGAAGGTCAATGGTATGCGATTACTGCATTTATTTCAACCACAGCCTTGAATTTTGTTTCAGGGTAGGACTTCCCACTTAGTCAAACCACAATGTAGCTCAGCATCTTATGCAGACCTGCTTGCAACTACTAAAATATTTTAGTGTAAAGAAAACTATGAAATTTACATAGAGAACATTGCACATGAGTTTTCACCCACTTCTCCCTGGTATTGGACCATGGATAAAATGGAGTGATCTAGCACCAGCCACCCTTTAAGCCAGAAGTCTTCAAACTTGTCTTAAAGCCGCCAAGTTTGAAGACCTCTGCTTTAAACCAACAATATTGTAGCTACAGCTTGTTACGTTGACTGCTACTCTGACAGTCTTCCAGTTGCTTTTGTGAGGGCTTGCTTTATTTCCTTTTTTTATTTTTAGTTTTCAGGATTTATTTTTACTTTACTCTGCGGCTTGAGCAAAAGGAGGTTTTGTTTAGTCCTTTTTCAGAGCTCAAAAATGCCTATACTATACCTTATAAAATGTGTCAGCTAGACACATGTGTCAGAAAAGATGCTAACAAATTCCTTCTGATTTTTTGCTACCATAGACTGTTCTCACACAAGAGTGGCTTGAACAGGGTCAAAGCTTAGCTTTGCTTAGGCGACTCTAATCTCCTGTTTTTGTGCTTATAGGCCAGAAGAGGAGATGAATCACAAAATAATAACACACTGCAAGATTCAAACAAAACAAGGAACCGAGTGAAGGAAGCTAACTGTGATCAAGGTCTTCTGCCTTACTCCCGTCCTGTGCAAGATCATGGCCAATGTGTATGTTAACAGGGCAATATTCAACACAAGAAATGATAAGATTTGTATATGGTTGTTTGGCAGTGGTGAAATCCAAATTTTTTTACTATCAGTTATGTGGGCGTGGCTTGGTGGGTGTGGTGTGGCTTGGTGGGCGTGGCAGGGGAAGGACACTGCAAAATCTCCATTCCTACCCCACTCCAGGGGAAGGATACTGCAAAATCCACATTTCCTCCCCACTCCTGGGAGAAGGATATTGCAAAATCTCCATTCCCACCCCACTCTGGGGCCAGCCAGAGGTGATATTTCCCGGTTCTCTGAACTACTCAAAATTTCCGCTACTGGTTCTCCAGATCCTGTTGGATTTCACCCCTGGTTGTTTGGTTTCAAGGGCATTAGAGGGATCTTATTTGAGAAGCTACTTGAATGACTTTTACAGTTAGTCCTCAACTTACAACTGTAATCAAGCCTGTAATTTCAGTCATAAGTTGTGATGGTCATAAAGTGGGTCACCATGTAACCAGTCCAGTTTTGCAACCATTATGCAGTGGTGATCCCTGCAGTCATTAAGCAAACTCATTGTCCCCTGTGGAGTGTTTCTTGCCAGGACCTGGGTATACAGTAATGCTAAAGTGTGGCGAGGGCCCCCCGCAGCCCGTTTTTGCCCCCAGGAGGCTGCAGGGAGGCCTACTAGGCCCAAAACGGGGCACGGGGGGTGCCTCCCCCACAGCCTGTTTTTGCTCCCAGGGGGGTGCAGGAGGCCAAGTGCTGCCTGTCACACCCCCTGGCCACGCCCACCATGGCCACACCCACCTAGCTGGTCATTAGGGCAGAGAACCAGTTAAATTATTTGAATCCCACCACTTTCAGACCTGCAAGATTATTAGTGTAATCTTACAATAAAGATCGAACTAGTGCTTTGGTTGATGGCTTCTCATCTGATCAGGCTTCAGGTTTTTATGAGACCCACTTCCCAATGTCACCTAAACTCAGAGAGAGATGCCCTGCTCTTGGCCTGCGGTTGGATCAGTCTTGCAGTGGGATGATTAAAAGCAGATTCTTGTCCATGATGGATTGCAACTCTTCAACTTGGGAGCTGCCTTCTGTGAGAGACACAATCTCGCTTCAAATGACAAGTGAGGTTTTTATTCATTCACACGTTTGCACGGTAGCTAAGCACTCTGTTACAGGACATAGCTGTAGACTGTTCTTTATTTTAATGAACCTTATTTCATTTCCGTAAGCCTTTTATGGACACAGCAAGACAGCAATCTTCACGGTTTCATTCCAGATCATTTTCATGCTTCTTTTGTAAGAAGCTGTGGGCTCTTCAGAAGGAAAAGCAGTTGAAAAAGATAAAAAAAAATGTTTTCTTGTTTACTGATTTACTGTAATCCTTGTACTTCAAAAATTGACAGTAACGTTCAAAATTATATTCCTACCCTTCCAGTGCTCGTAGGGCCTTATGAATTCCCAAAGGCAGCAGATTTCAAAAGGCAAAACGGCTATAGAAAAAAGCCTCTTTCCAATTCCTTCCTACCCTTAACTTGCCAAGGAGAAAAAACCCAGCACATCCTCTCCTGGGTAAGTGATTGTCAGGCTTTTGAGGTAATCCAGACAAGAAGCAAAACTGTGAGTATAAAACTACCTTTATTATAAGGTTACAGTAACAGAATCTTGCAAATCTGAAAAGCATTTCCTCCCTTCTGTAATAGGTGGGGATGGCCTTGGCAGTCTGTGTCAAGAGACATTGCCAAGGGAACAGTCAGATAAGGGACAGACAGCCTGTAGCTGGATAGTGGGCTGGGCAAGAGACTCAGAAGAGACCCTCCCTACTTTCTGGGGCCTGTAAAGGAAACGGGGGAGAGGAGAAACATAACTTTCAGATTTGCAAGATTCTGTCAGTGTAACTTTACAGTAAAGTAAGCTGATCTGGTTGTGTTTCTCATCTGGTATGTCCTGCAAGGCCAACTTCAGTCTTGTTTATCTGACTGTTCCCTTGGCAGAATCTCTTTGCCCACTCTTCCAAGGTCATTCTCACATACCATTATACCTCCTTTATGTTTACTTTCCAGAAACCAGGGTGGATCCATTCTGAAATCCCAAAGGTGCTGTTTCCAAAGGCAACTGGACTTCCTTGGGGTTTTTTTTGGAAGTGTTTCATTTCTCATCCAGGGAGCCTTTTTTTTTTTACATATATATCAGACACATTACATTTTTAAAAACATTTGGTAACTTTTGAAGGATAATTTAATGCTTCTTTAATGTTACAAGGAGAAAGAAAAAAACATTAACATAGCAAAGACATTAGTAGAGCCTTGGTGGTGCAGCAGACTAAAGTGCTGTTAACTAGCACCAGCTGCCTGCAATTATTGCAAGTTCGAATCTCACCAGGCTCAAGGTTGACTCAGCCTTCCATCCTTTCGAGGTAGGTAAAATGAGGATCCGGATTGTGGTGGCAAAAAGCTGACTTTGTATAAAAAGAACACCGCTTGGGGTGGGGGGCGAAAGCCCTACTAAGCAGGTATATACAAAAGTATGAAGGCTATTGCTTAATGCATTGTAAGCCACCCTGAGTTTCCGGAGAAGGGCGGAATATAAATTGAACTAATAAATTAATAATAAATAAATAAATGGACAATGTTATCTATTATTTCTCATATTATGTATAGATAAGAATGAAATAGTATTTGATACATAGAATGTGACCCTTCATCCAGGATTTTTTTAATTACTGAAAAGCTCACTTAAGCCTATTTAGTTAATATAGTGTAAATTGACATCATGCTGTGATTTTAAAGCTATACAGTGAAGCACTTTACTCTCTTAAAAACGAATAAAAGCCTCTGGACTAGAGTACTGAAGGGTAAACACTTTCTCCATCTCACTTCTTTTTGTTTTGGGAATTTGTAGCAGATTTGTCTTACGTGACAATGAAAATGTGAACTGGAAATCTTGGGCAAGAAATACCAGGAGATTAACTTCACAAAATGCAAAACCTGCAAACAAGCCTCCATATTGATGGTGGCTGTTAATCAAACTTTGCGAATTATCAAGAAAAAAAACCTGAACACTTTTTGTTTAAAGCTGCTCTCAAGGGGTGTTCAGCTAGGTAGCAGTGTACAGGTTAACTTTTTCAGATTTCAGAAACCTAATCAGGGTCGGATCCCATGGTACTTTGGTGGAAGACCAGTAGGAATTTTATTTATTAATAAATAATCCCAAGGAGCTGCTGATCCATTTCTACAGAGGAATTATTGAGTCTCATCTGCACCTCTATAACTGTCTGGTTTGGCTCTGCAACCCAACAAGACAGACACAGACTTCAGAGGATAAGCAGACCTGCAGAAAAAACAATTGCTACCAACCTGCCTTCCATTGAGGACCTGTATACTGCACGAGTCAAAAAAAGGGCTATGAAAATATTTACAGACCCCTCGCATCCTGGGCATAAATTGTTTCAACTCCTACCCTCAAAACGGGGGTAGCTATAGAGCACTGCACACCAGAACAACTAGACACAAGGACAGTTTTTCCCCAAATGCCATCACTCTGCTAAACAAATAATTTCCTCAATACTGTCGAACTATTTACTAAGTCTGCACTACTATTAATTAATTAATTAATTAATTGGTTCGATTTATATGCCACCCTTCTCCGGAGACTCAGGGCGGCTTACAATGCGTTAAGCAATAGCCTTCATACTTTTGTATATACCTGCTTAGTAGGGCTTTCGCGCCCCCCCCCCAAGCGGTGTTCTTTTTTATACAAAGTCAATTTATTGCCCCCACAATCCGGGTCCTCATTTTACCTACCTCAAAAGGATGGAAGGCTGAGTCAACCTTGAGCCTGGTGAGATGTGAACTTGCAGTAATTGCAGGCAGCTGGGGCTACTTAACAGCACTTTAGTCTGCTGCACCACCAAGGCTCTCTCATCATTCCCACCACCCATCTCCTTCCACTTATGACTGTATGACTGTAACTTTCTTGCTTGTATCCTTACGATTTATATTGATATTGTTTCCTGATTGCTTATTTGTACCCTATGACTATCATTAAGTATTGTACCTTGTGATTCTTGATGAACGTATCTTTTCTTTTATGTACACTGAGAGCGTATGCACCAAGACAAATTCCTTGTGTGTCCAATCACACTTGGGCAATAAAAAATTCTATTCTATTCTATTCTATTAGATTTGTCTGCGCCTCCCCCCCCATCTAATCAAGACTGTAGACTAAACTGGAAAGTCAAAGTAAGTTGTTTCTGAAGTTTTTTTTAAACTGCTTAATAGCAGGTTTAGCTTGAGATTTTTTTTAAATAAGGGACAGAGGCTTAGAATGAAGCTGATAGCCACATTTCACATCACTGTCCACATTGCTTCTCCCCTATGGATGCATTTTTAATGTTCTCCTCCCCTGCCACTTTCAAGCTTGTTTTTCATTTGTTGCCTTCCACACCCACATTATTCTGTTCTGCTCTGATAGAAAGAAGGGCATAACTCTGAACCTCCTCCTATGTTTACTTTCCTTTTATTGGAACGTTTGAAAAGCATCTGGGACAAGAGCAGAAGCAGCAGGGAGTCATGCATGTGAAATGGGCAGCCATATAAACTGAATAAATAAACACCTCTCATTGCTTATAAAGGTGTTCATGTGGTTACCATGGGGGTTTTTATGACTTGTGGACTTCAACTCCCAGAATTCCTAAGCGTTGCTATCTCAGGAATTCTGGGAGTTGAAGTTCACAAGTCATAAAAGAGCCAAGGTTCCCCACCCCTGGATTACCAGAAGTCAAGCTGAGATGAAGGAAATTCTCATCCAAGATGAAATCTTTTCATGCTGGAAAAACACCTATTTATTAGATATCTCTTCGGCTTTTTTTTTTTTTTTTTACAGCAGCACTGGGCAGGATATATAGATTGATCCTTCCTCCTCTTTTTGCCCCCAACAACAACCCTGTGAGGTTGTGTGGAGGAGAGAAGGTAACTGGCCCAAAGTCACCCAGTGCTTGAACATAGAATAGAGTAGACCAGTGCTCTCAGCCTTGGCAACTTTAAGATGGGTAGAATTCAATTCCCAGAATTCTGGGAATTGAAGTCTACCCATCTTAATAGAATAGAATAGAATTCTTTATTGGCCAAGTGTGATTGGACACACAAGGAATTTGTCTTGGTGAATACGCTCTCGGTGTACATAAAAGAAATGATACATTCGTCAAGAATGATAAGGTACAACACTTAATGATAGTCATAGGGAAACAGTCAATATAAACCTTAAGGACACCAGCAACAAGATTACAGTCATACAGTCATAAGGGGGAGGATATGGGTGATAGGAACGATGAGAAGATTAATAGTAATGCAGATTTAGTTTGACTAAATGCAGACTAGTTTGACAGTGTTGGGAGAATTATTTGTTATTATATGTTTATAATACATTTATAAATTATAAATAAATTATAAATTTATAACAATTATAATGTTGCCAAGGTTGAGAAATACTGGACTAGATCCTGGCTTGCCCCATTTACCATACCACCAACCTGGCTCTTTTGGAGAAAGGATGCTTAGTTTCCTACAAAGTACAGGTAGTCCTTGGCTTAGGATCACAACTGAGACCAACATTCGTTGTTAAGTGCAACATTTGTTATGTGAGTCCGGCACCATTTTACAACCTTTCTGGCCACTTAACAGTTGTTAAGTGAATCACTGCAGCCAATAAGTTAGCAACTTGGTTGTTAAGGGAATCTGGCTTCTCCATTGACTTTGCTTATCAAAAGGAGATCACATGACCTTAAGACCACAACAACGGGTCATAAATATAAACCAGTTGCCAAGTGGCTGAATTTTGATCACATGATCAAGGGGTTGCTACAAAAGCAGTACCTGTGAAAAACGATTATGTCACTTTTTCCAGTGCCAGTTGTTGTCCGGTGCCTTTTTCCAGTTGTAACTTTGACCATCCCTAAATTGTAAGATGAGGACTACCTGCATTTTATTGCTATTTGTCACATGTGGTTAAGGTGTTGGACCCGGATTAAAGAGACCCAGGTTCGAATCCACCCCAAGCCTTGGAAACTCACTTGAGTTCCTTGGGATCATCCGTCCCACTGATGATCTCACTGGGCCTCCGGAGACTAAAAACGTGGAGGTGGGAGCACTACCTCCACTACGAGCTTATGAAAAGAAAGAAGGATGAAGGCAGTGGTGAAATCTAAAATTTGTTACTACTGGTTCTGTGGACGTGGCTTGGTGGTGGTGGTGGTGGGGGTAATGTGACTGGGTGGGCGTGGCCAATTTTTTTTTAACTTTTAAAACCATTTTTTCTACAGTCTTTTTGGCGAAGATGTTGTAAAAAAATGCTTTCAAAAGGCTCTGACGATCCCAGCTGAGTTGCCTGATAGGCAGAGGCTTTTTTTTCTTTTAAACTCAGCTTGGATGTCAGAGGCTTTTAAAAGAAAAAAAGTCTCTGTTGATCAGGCAACTCAGCTGGGATGTCAGAGGCTTTTAGAAGCATTTTTTAAATGCTTTTAAAACCTCATCATAAAACCTCTTCAGAGATTGTAGAAAAAATGCTTTTAAAAGCCTCTGACGATCCCAGCTGAGTTTAAAAGAAAAAATGCTTTTAAAAGTAAAAAAAAAAGCCTCTGATGATTGTGCGGCTCAGCTGGGCATGGGGGGGGGGGAAGGGATTTTTGCTACCCGTTCTCCGAACCACCCGCCTCCATCGCTACCGGATCGGGCGTTCCGGTCGGAACCGGGAACATTTCACCCCTGATGAACGTTCCTTCTAACCAAAGCACCGCACAGCCCTGACTCTCATACGACAAGCCAAACGGCTCGCTGCTTTGCATCATCTCCAGTGATGTACTTCCTTCCCGCAGCAACCGGGACCGCGCCGGGCGGACACGCAAGCCAACCCAATGGGAAACGAAGCACCCGAGCAAGGAAAAACGCTTCGTTTTTTGTTTTTAAAAAATCCCTTTCCTTTCTGCTCCGCAAAAGAGCTGCCAGCAGCGGTGCAAACCAGCCAAGATCCAAAGAAGCCTTCTCGGCTCGATCCAGAAATCGGGGCCGAGGGAAATCTGTGCGATTTTAAAACGAGGAACCGCTGCTAATGGCTTTTAAAATCGATTTCCCTTTGGGCCGCTTCCCGGGACTCCCAACCCTCCTCCCGTTTGGGGGGAAAGGAGGAAGGAGAAGGAGAAGGAGGAGAAGAACAGGAAAAACTGAATCCAAGCGACGAAGGGGAGGGAAGGCGGGAGGGGAGGGGGGGTCTCTCTCTCTCTCTCTCTCTCTCCAGAAACGCCTCCTTCCCACTCACTTGTCCGCTCCGGCGTTCGGGAAGGTGTTGCTAACCGCGGCGCGATTGTTTTCCCCACCCGCCCTCCTCCCCATGCTTCCCAGCGCCCCTCCCCGCCCGCCCGACCTCCGAGGCGAATTGGCTCCGCCGTGCCACCGCTGAGCGCCATGCCGCCTTCGGCCCCAGCGAAGCCCCTGGCCGCCGAGCCGGACTGAGGGGGACGCTGCTGGCCAGGCTGCGCTTTGCTGCAACCACGTGTCATTGATTCGCAGCCTTCCTGTCACACAACAACAAGGAAGCCTTCGGGGAGAAGAGGGCTGGGGGGGGAATCATCATCTTCTTCTTCTCCCCCTTTGGATCGCCCTGGGGAAAGCCGCCACTTTCCTGATCCAGGTGAGTTTCCGCCGAAAAGCAGGGCAGTGAGTGGGTGGGTGGGAACCTGGCAGGTTAGGATTCTTCACCTGGGCCACCCAAAACCCCCCTCGCTTTGCCCAATGTCAGGTTGTCTTTTGGGGGGGGCAGTGGATGGGGGGATTAGTGGGGGTGGCTGCTTGTTTTTGTTTTCCTTTGCAGCGCGGGGTGGATGGGGGGGGGGCGTGCCTTTGCGCGGCCGAGGCGATACGAGCTCAAGGGATCCAGAGCTGCGCGCATCGGGGGTGCAAGGTGCGGGGTGTCTCCGCACTGGCTGCCCGGGGTCCACGGGTGGGATGGGCGCAGCCGTGGGAAGAAGCGGCGTGTGTCCGAGAGAAGCGCTTTTTTTTTTTTCGGGGTCGCTCAGTGGAAGGCAAAGAGAAGCTGCTTAAATGGCAATGATCGCCAGCGATCGAGCAAAAAGCCTTTGATTCTGCTCCAGAAGGCCGGTTAGGGAGAATTGGTCATTAAAATAAAATAAAATAAATAAAATAAAATAAAATAAAATAAATAAAATAAAATAAAATAAAATAAAATAAAATAAAATAAAATAAAATAAAGGTGCAGAATAGGTTCTGCGGAGGAGGTGGCCGGAGAAGCAAGTTGACAGGGGAGCCCAATGTGGGGAGGAGGGTGGGGGTGGGTGGGAGGCGCAGCCATGTGCCCGGTGCCTTCCAAGCGACATCAAGGCCTCGTCTCTGAAAGTCTTAAGGTTCCCTTCAAGGACTGGGGGGCTCCCGATTGCCCACAGTGGTGCTTGCATCCTGGCCACCTAAAAAAGGAGCCCAGTTATAGACGGTGAAGATTGAGCCTTAAAGTCCAGAGACTGAAAGGGAGCATCTGCAAGCTTTGGGATGTTGAAAGGTGCATCCAGATTATCTTCGGGGGCCTTTCATCTTCTCCTTTGTTTTTTTTATTTGTGTGTGTGTGTGTGTGTGTGTGTTCGTTTCTGGCCAGGCTGGTTGCAGCAATGGAAGAAAATAGCATGAGCACCCTGCAACAGAGGGCAGCTGAGCTGGAGTGCATGGCAGAGGTTCTTCTGACAGGGGAACAGCTAAGGTAAGCTATGTGGCTTTTCACAAGTACTTTGCCTGGAGGGGGCAGCAAGAGAAACTGGGTTCTATGCCAGATTTCGGTTTTCCGGGATGGTTTGCCTGTAATAATCCCCTTTTCCTTTAGAGGATGAAGGCTACATGGGGGAGGGTCTCCTCTTATTTAATTGGCCTCAACAATAACTCTGCAAGGTAGATGGGCCCCGAGAGGATGTAACTGGCGCAAAGGCACCAGGTGAATTTTTCCTTCATCACTCCAAGCCACCGTGTTATAACAGGATGTGGGGTGATGCTTCGTCCAGCTACATAGCAATGCCTGATATTCTCAAGAAGTTTCAATATTTTCACATCTCACGGAGAAAAAGACTGCTCTGTATGAACAAATAGCCAAGGGTAACGAAACAGATCCGCTGTTCCCATCAGAAGTGGCATTCATATACTGTAGCAACTGGTTCGCCCAGCACCGGAAATGTGAGAGCTTGCGGCGTCACAAAACACGGCAATTTACTTGTGCGTGCCTTCCGCACATGTGTGCAGAGTCCAAAACACAGCAATATGGGACGGGATTGCGCCCAGGTGGGTGGGTGGGCAGGCCCACCCGCAAGTGGCCACTACCGATTCGCCCGAACTGGTCTGAACCGGCTTAATACCACCTCTGGTTCACATCATCCTCTAGCAGACTGGCCTTGCTGGGTAGAGACGATGGGAATTGTATTCCAGTTTATCTGGAAGACGAGTCTTGGAATAAGGCAGTTTTTTGAGAGAAGAGGTTCATCAATCTTCAGAGCCTCTCTTTATTTTAACTTTGTGTTCATTTCTCCAACTGGCAGCAAACAAGGATGAATTCAAAAGAGCGATTTTAGGGTTATCCGTCAATCCGTTCAATGAATTTATACAAAAGCAGGAGGGTGTGTTTTTAGCTGTCTTGCTGTTATGGGATGGCTGAAGTCTGAGAATGAAACGAATGGTTTTTTTTTTTAAAAAAAAAAAAAAAGAAGAAACGATTAAAAACATTTTGTTTGACATCTTCTCATACCACCATCTGTCAAACAACATTTCCTTTTCCAGATACACAGCTTTGATTCTGCTACATAAGGCAAAGTCTATACTTCAGGCATGTAGCTTTAATAGTCTATTCCAGGGGTGTCAAATTCAATGCCTGGGGGCCGGATCCAGCCTACAGGGTGTTTAGATCTGGCCCGCGGACCCGCCCTGGAAATAGCGAAGAACCAGCCCGCCCCGGTCACTCACGGCCCTCCTGAGCTCCATTTTCACTGGCAGAGGGCTGCAGGAGGCCAGCGCAGCCAACAAACGGATGAGTGACATTGAGCTGGCCACGCCCACCCCAGGCATGACCCCAGCCACACCCATCCCTGCCCACCCCAAGATCAAATACAATCCTGATGCCAGCGGTGAAATGCTCCTGGCTGGGACCAGATCACCTGATCTGGTAGCGATGGCAGCAGATGGTTCGGAGAACCGGTAGCAAAAATCCCTGCCCCACCCCCCCATACCCAGCTGAGCCGCACGATCATCAGAGGCTTTTTTTTTACTTTTAAAAGCATTTTTTCTACAACCTCTTCGGCTGAAAAAATGTTTTTAAAAGTAAAAAAAAAAAAAGTTGGCCACACCTACCCAGTCACATTACCCCCCCAAGCCATGCTCACAGAACCGGTAGTAAGAAATTTTACATTTCATCACTGCCTGATGCGGCCCGCAATGAAATTGAATTTGATACTCCTGGTATAGAATAGAGTCGATCCACTCCAAATAGACCCTTAATAGGGTCTTATTTTCGGGGAAACATAGTAGCTCAACTCAGGATTGAGTTGCTAAAGGAAGCAAGGGTAGTCTCTTTGATTGGACCCAATAGGCATGCTCTATTCTACTTTTATTTATTTATTATTTTAATTATTTTATTTTATTTTATTATTTTATTTTGTTATTTTATTATTTTATTGTATGTTGTATTTTATATTTATTTTTTATTATCTTATTTTATTTTGTATTTTATTTTTTAATTTAATTTTTTATTTTGTTTTAATATTTTATTTATTTTAATTTTTTAAAACCTTATTTTATTTATCTTATTTTATTCATCTTTATTTTATTTTATTATACATTCATTTATTTTATTTAAAGCTTTCCAGGATGAGGTGAGATTAAAATCCGGGAGGGGGTTCCACCAGCCGTCGGTGTAAAAGGATTTTCGTTGCAAAGTGAAATTGCAACCCAGGTAGAATTTACAAAGCCTTCATTAGTGCCAGCAGCAAAGTTAAGAAACCAAGTAAGAGGAACTGAAATATAAACATTTTATGATGAGTAAAACATGTGAGCTACTGTTGTCATATCAAATAGAGAAGATTTTTAAATTTTTCTTTCCTTCCTGCTTGCATGCTATCCTGCGGTGTTCACTTGTTGTAGGATGTCGGGCACAAGTACTTAAAGAGGCTGAAACATTCAAGCATTGTGATGCCCTGATATTTATTTGTTTGTTTGTTTGCTTGTTTGCATGCCCTTACTTTTCTGCTCCCATACACGATGGTTTAAAATAATACTTTTGAAAACAGAACCAACCAAATCATTATAAAATATAAAAGGTTAATTCTTAGATCTTGTCTCTTTGAGGACAGGTTGGTAACAGGGGTGGGCTTCGAAAATTTTAGCAAGGGGTTCTCTGCCTGGTTGCTTGGTGGGCGTGGCCTAGTCAGCCTCCTGCACCATGGTGCGGGGGTTTGTGTGTTTTTGCCCTCCCCGGGCTCCAGAGGCTTTCCTTGAGCCTCCGGAAGGGTGAAAAGGGCCTCCCCAGGCTCCGGAGGCCCTCTGGAGGCTGGAAAAGGGCCTGTTTTTTGTCTTCTCTCAGCCTCTATGTGCGCCCTGCACTTACCTGCATCCCAAACATTATATGATTATAAAGTAGCCTACAGTTTCTATTGTATGTCATAACAGTTGTACGACAAAGCACCCATGTGACCGACCTGATTTTACGACATATTTTGTAATGGTCATTAAGCAAACCCATCATCTGCAATGGGACTTTTTTTTCAGAAATCGGAAGTAAATGCCATCAATCTGTCAATTGCAGTCATGTGACCATAGAACACTACAAACAACTATTAATGCAGGCTGGTTGCCAAGTGCCCAAAATGTGATCACATGATCATGGGGGCGGAAGCAGCCATTGTGACTTTGAATTTGGGTCCTAAGTACCCTTTGGGGGAGGGGTCCATTGTAACTTTGAACCAGTGGTGGTTTTCAAATTTTTTTACTACCGGTTCTGTGGGTGTGGCTTGGTGGGCGTGGCTTGGGCATGGCAGGGGAAGGATACTGTAAAATCTCCATTCCTACCCCACTCCAGGGAAAGGTTACTGCAAAATCCCTATTTCCTCCTGATCAGCTGGGAATTGGGAGGCAGAGAATAGATGGGGGCGGGGCCAGTCAGAATTTTTACTACCGATTCTCTGAACTACTCAAAATTTCTGCTACCAATTCTCCAGAACTGGTCAGAACCTGCTGAAACCCACCTCTGCTTCAAACAGTCACTAAATAATCGGTTGTAAATTGAGAACTATGTATTTACGTGGAGCCAGACAATTCTACCTGGAGGAGTGTGTCCTTGAAATATCTTTATTTATTAATGGATTGTTTTTACCTGAGTAAATTTTAAGGAAAGGTGTGAGTAGTAGCTACTCTGTTGTAACTTCAGCCAGCTTCTCTAACAAGCCATCATGGGAATTCTTGGGAAGTGTAATCCAGCACACCTGAGAAGCCCTTAATGAGAGAAGTTAAATCTACCACACTCTGTTTCAAACTTGACAACGTTCAGAGGTATGGACTTCAACTCAAAAAACAAAACAAAACCAACACAGTTCTAGGCTGCATAAACAGAGGGATAGACTCAAGATCACGTGAAGTGTTAATACCACTTTATAATGTCTTGGTAAGGCCACACTTGGAATATTGCATCCAGTTTTGGTCTCCACGATGTAAAAAAGATGTGGAGACTCTAGAAAGAGTGCAGAGAAGAACAACAAAGATGATTAGGGGACTGGAGGCTAAAACATATGAAGAACAGTTGCAGGGACTAGGTATGTCTAGTTTAATGAAAAGAAGGACTAGGGAAGACATGGTAACAGTGTTCCAATATCTCAGGGGCTGCCACAAAGAAGAGGGAGTCAAGCTATTCTCCAAAGCACCTGAAGGCAGGACAAGAAACAATGGGTGGAAACTAATCAAGGAGAGAAGCAACTTAGAACTAAGGAGAAATTTCCTGACAGTTAGAACAATTAATCAGTGGAACAACTTGCCTCCAGAAGTTGTGAATGCTCCAAAACTGGAAATTTTTAAGAAGATGTTGGATAACCATTTGTTTGAAGGTGTAGGGTTTCCTGCCTAGGCAGGGGGTTGGATTAGAAGACCTCCAAGGTCCCTTCCAACTCTATTATTCTATTCTATTCTATTCATGCTGACTGAGGAATTCTGGGAGCTGAAGTCCACACACCTTAAAATTGCCAAGTTTGAAAAACGCCGGTCAACATCTGTAGGAATAAAAAAGAGTCAGTTATGCCTGCTGGGTGCAGATAAATAACATGGGAGTGAAATTTCTACTTACGTGTGTCTTATTTGCAATGGATATCAGCACTGTTGTGAGCCAGGCCTGTTTTTTGCTTTGTAAGGGTTGTGTACGATGTTTGCAGAGATCTCTGGATCATTGCTTCGCTGCTAGAGGATTCTGCCTTTCCAAAGCAGTGTGGATTAATGGTCCTTTGATCTTATCTGCCTGTGTCCCTATGAGCTCCCCTAATTTCATTTTTTGGTCAACAAAGAGGCATGTGGTTTTTCCAGATCTTCTTCAAGCTATCCTGCACATTATCAGATGGCTAAAACACACATTCCATTTCTCCTGGCCCCTCTCAAAGATTAAAGAGGCCCATTGATTTGGTCGCCTAATGGAGGCTCCAACTGAGTGTTGACGTGGCGGATTGCCACAATGGCTGGTGCATCTTT